CCTTTCCTTTCCTTTCCTTTCCTTTCCTTTCCTTTCCTTTCCTTTCCATTCCATTCCATTCCATAGTGGGATGCAACCGGTTTAACAACCAGTTTGGTGATCATGCATGCAGCAGTGTTCAAAAACAGTGAGCAGTGCCCATTTTAAGCAGTGCCCATTTTAAGCTTAAAAACTTACCTACTATGTCAGCGTTGGTCAGTAAAACAGCTGACGCGCGGCAATTCACTGTGCCACGCAAACCAGCTCAGCTAAAAAACAGGGAAATATAGGACAGGAAAGGGCAGGAGCAGGTGAGCAGGGCCAACTGCTCACTGGAACTACTAGTTCTCCAGAACCAGTGCAAATCGGTAGAATCCCACCACTGATTCTACTCTACTCTACTCTACTCTACTCTACTCTACTCTACTCTACTCTACTATACTCTATTCTTCATTATTTTGGCGTTCCACTTGCTGAAACACTAACTTTTTTCTTTCTGTTTCAGATCAGCTACACTTTTGTTTCACAAGTTTTCAGTGATAAAACACTCTTCCCTTTTTTCTACCACATGGTCCCAAAAGAAGAAGCACACTATCCAGGGATTGTCAAACTGCTTCTGTATCTCAGGTGGACTTTGGTAGGGCTCCTTGCTCCAGATACCAACACCGGAGAGAGAGCCATGAAGACTCTGCGTCCAATGCTTCTCAAGAGCGGCATTTGTGTTGTTATAGAACAAAGTTTTTCTGAGGAAGCCAGCTATATGGTCATTAAGGCTGCTCTGTTCCAGAGATGGAGTCAAGTGAATGCCCTTGTTTACTGTGCTGAGATGAGCTCCTTCCTTCAAGGATTATATCTGGTTCACAAAACAGCTGAAAGCTTGATCCAGCCCATCATAGGCAAAGTCTTGATCATCACAGCCTTGTGGGATGTCTCATTGCCATTGCTCAATAACGAACTATCTTTCCAGTACTTCCACGGGCTTTTCTCTTTCCTGATCCAGTCCCACGATGGAATGAATTTTGGTTTTGAGGTCCCTTATTTTGCTATTAAGCGATTTGTGAGTCGGGCGTTCAATTGTAATTATACAAAACAGCCCTTCTCCGTGAAAGAATGGAAAAGATGCGTGGAGAAAGAGCAAATGGACACTCTGACTGAAGAGGAGATTGAAACAATCTTGTCTATAGACAGGTTCTACATTCATGATACTATCTGGGCTGTTGCCCGTTCTTTAGATGCTGCCTATTCATCCAGATTCAAAAAGATGGAGGTGAAGCATGGGAACAGAAGAGGAGTTCCAACATTGGAACCATGGCAGGTATTTTCCCTCTTGTACCTAGAATCCATTATCCAATTCCTTCTTGACAGCCATTTTGAAAACTTAGTCCATCTTTTGACTCTCTGTCAACTAAAAAGACATTCCTTTTTATGTTTTTAGCTGCTAGAAAAAGAGAGTGGGGGAAAACAGTGCATTCCTTAAGTGCCTAGTTAATCGCCCTGGCAACCCAAAGTTGTCAGAGTGTAACAATATTACTGGAGAGCATGATTGATGACTCTTGACTATGGATGTGTCCCATTGGAGAATATACATCCAGGCGGTGGGGGGAATACCAAGGTCAAGGGGGAAATGAATGATCCAAGTTACCCAAGAGCCTATTTTTCCTGAGACCGTCTGTGAACTGTCCTTAAATTTTAGTATTGGCTACATCCAGCTAACACCAACATGGCCACTCCTAATAAATCAATTTTATTTTCTCTGAGAGTTGTGGCTAGAAACTTATAACTTGAATGGAGTTGGATTTCTTACAGTCCAGACACACTCTCTCTCTTACTGCTATCACTGTTTTTACTGTTATCCTTTCCTATTTACTGTTGCTCCCTTGCGAAATTTTTATCTTTATTGGACCCTGGAAGAGCTTGCAACAGGTCAAATTTATTTTTTATTAGATCTATATCGTGGCTTTTGTTCAGACAGTCAAGCCTTAGAGGGTGCTGGACACGCTGCAATTTTCTTGAAGCTCAGAAATGATGTCAGCCATTTAAGACAGATTATAAATGTTAATGTTAGGTATATTTTATGATTATAGCAATAGAAATCTGAACATATTCCTTCTCTTTCTTTATCTTCATGAGAAATAGGGAAACTCGAGTTTTTTATTTTATTTATACATTTTTCTTTAACATACATAAGTATTCAATATGCTGTGTATTGTCTGGGTCATTTTACCTACGCATAATAACAAGATTCTTTACTTGTACTGTATATAATAATATTCTTCCCACTACTAATTTCTACTTTTATTATCAAACCATTGGTAAAACAAACCCCAAGTTTTAAAAAAATCTGTATTTTCTCTGCCCTTTATCTTTCATGTTAAACTATCCCTTTCCACACATGCTAATATTTTTTAAATTATATTTTCATCTGAAGGAGTTTCCACATTTTTTCCAATGTTGTGCAAATACAGTTCTTGCTACTTCAAAACATGTAATATTAAATATACATTCCCTTTACTGTATTTTTCTGGCAAAATACTTTGGGAGACTCAAATTTGAGATGCTTTCTCAGGTTACATTTCTGGCCCAGATTCAAATTGCTTTTATCTGAACATCATCTTGGCTGCGTCTCTCTTTCTTCTTCAAGATTATTCTTCCTGCCCATTACAGGTGGCCTTGCCTTTTGTCCCAACTTCTCAATTTTGCCTACAAAATGTGACTTCATAGTGATCATCCATCTAACTTCTTACAGCATTGACCCTGTTTCATTTCTACATTAGGCAAAGTTGGCTAGGCAGAACCATATATTTTCGATATTTGATATATGCGTCCTCTTTATATATTTTTTACATATATATGTCTTGAGTGTGTCTTCAGATTAACTCGCAAGCACGTGTATGCATTTCAATTCTAAATAATACCTTTTAAAAGATATTTTACTGTAAAATGAAGATTTTATATTAGCTTCATTTAGTATATTGGGGTTATTTATGTATAAAGGCCACTGACATTTTTTTGCTTTTAAAGCAATTTATAGACAAAGAGAGATAAGATTTTTGTTTGTTTGATACAGCTTACTTATGGCATATCTTTTGAAATGAAATTATTATTTTTTATTTGATTTGATTTGTCAATCACTTACAAGATAATAGCTATAAGTATAAACATGTATAAAAATGATATTTATAAAATTATAAAAAGTATCAAAATTATTATAAGATGTCTAAAACAGGAAATGGTAGATGGATCTTAAGATACTTAAGATACTGTAATGTCCACGAGGCTGAGTTTCAAAATGTCTTTGCTTCCTGCAAAGAACATTTGTTTCACAGCTGCCTTTTATCTTCTTGAAGGAGGGGCCATTACCTTGCAGCCTTACTCCTAAGTTGCCTGTGCTGTTGCAGCTGCTCTTTCCTGCAAGCAATCCTGTGTGCACACGCACTTGGCAAAGACTCCTTGGAAAGCTCCTCATTGCTTCTGCCAGCCCCCACAATCTCTGAAGCAGCCCACTCCCTAATGGTCCTGGCCCCTTATCTGAGTCCTGGCTCTCCTCAGCCATCCGCACCTGCTGCCAGCTAACCCCAACACTTTTTCTGTGCCATTGTCACTTTGAATGGTCACATTAAATATATTAATATGTCTAGCAGATGCCTAGAATAATCCCTGAACTGTAAAAGATGCGATTATGAAATGGGCGGCTGAGATAAGAAATGTTACTTCGTGTTTTCTACAGGCTGCAGTTTTCTCTTCCACTTTAGCTTCATCTGCTCCTTCAGAGCTCCAAGTTTCACAATTCTTCCATGGAAGGGGTACGTTTGGATGAGAAGGGAGTCCTAACAGCTGACTTTGACATAATTAATTGGGTCGTCCTCTCCAACGAGACCATGACCATAGTCAAATTTGCAACGCTGGAAAGCCAAGGAGCTGAAAACTTCAAATTTACTATAAGCCAGGATGGGATTGAGGAATTGAATTGGCGCAACAAGGTAGGGACATTTAATTGCTTCGTTTCACTGTATGCTGGTCTGTGAAGAATATCAGTAGATCTTCCAAGCAGCTGTTTTCATTATTAGTCAGGGTCAAATAAGTGCACACTTTTCAATAAGATAGACGGCATTTTTTAAAGCTCCGCTTCTTGGGCCAGCAAAGAAATAGTGCAGCATGAGCAGGAGTGGGATTCAAAAATCCCAGCAACTGGTTCACTTCCCAGTTGCTGGGTGGGCGTGGCCTACCAGAACTTCTGGTTCAGCCATTTTTCACCTTCACCAGGGTCTGGAGCAAATTTTTTAACAACTGGTTCTGTAGGCATGGCTTATGTGGTGGGTGTGGCTTGGTGGTCATGTGACTGGGTGGACATGGCTTGGTGGTCATGTTATTGGCTGGGTGTGGCCAACTCAATATCACTCACATCGAGGCACGCATCTCCTTGCCAGGCCTCTCATTATTGTGGGGGTGCTGCAATAGTCGTAAGTGTGAAAAATGGTCATAAGTCACTTTTTTCAGTGCCATTGTAACTTTGAATGGTCACTCCACACAAGCAAAGTACCAGCAAAGGAGGGAAAAATAACTCCAGAGAAGTTCCTGAGACAGGAAGTCTAGTCCTGCCAAGAATGTAATAAGGGTTAACGGGGAGGCAATTTCTGTAAGCAAGACCAGAATGTTTTCTTCCTGCCTTCCTTACAGGATTAGGCCAGTAATTTCTTCTAACAACCATTTCTCCAAACTGCTTAGAATGTTAACAACCGGTTCTAGTGAATAGGTGCGAACTGGTAGAATCCCACCTCTGGTCTGGAGGCTTCCCTCAGGCCTCCGGGAAGGCAAAAATGCCCTCCCCTGGCCTCTGGAAGCTGGAAACAGACCCATTTCCAGACTTCCAGAATTTCCAGTTCGGCCCATTTTTCACCCTCTCGGAGCCTCATCACTGACGCTGCCCTTACCTGCATCCAAAATGGGCTGTATGGAGACTCCGAGGAGGGGAGGGACAGGGAGGGGCGGGCAGGGCCAGCTGGTCAGTTCAACTAGTGGTTCAGTGAACCAGATGTGAATTTAATATCCGGTTCGCCCAAACCAGTCCATACTGGTAGAACTCCATCCCTGAGCATGAAAGACTTTTATGCAGCATAAAATTATTCACAAAATCCCCATTTGGTGATCCTGGTGCAAGAGAGATTTTTTTTAATCCTCTCCACTTTTGAATCTGTTCTTCCAAGCAGGATTACCAGATTCTATAACAGATTTTGTCCCCTAGGCCATCTGTCTGGTAAACTTGCCAGATTTATTTTTCTCGCCATGTACATGTAAGTATCTGAACTAGACTACGTTTTTTTTCTGTGTCATATAATATATGTGGGTATATGCATATTTATTTATTTATTTTGTCATGGTGGGGTGGCCTAGAGGTGGAGACCTCACCTCACAATCAGGAGGCTGTGAGTTCAATCCTAGGTAGAGACAGATATTTGTCTCTCTGGGCACAACATATCTCAGAGGTGGGTATTCAGCAGGTTCCGACCAGTTGTGGAGAAGCAGTAGCAGAAATTTTGAGTAGCTCGGAGAACCGGCAAATGCCACCTCTGACTGGCTCCACTCCATCTATTCCCTGCCTCCTGAGTTCCAGCTGATCGGCTGTGTCTTCTTTGGTTGCCCTACACAGGAGAATGGAGCTGGAAAGCAGGTTAGTGGGGTGGGGAGGGAATGGAGATTTTACAGTATCCTTCCCCTGCCACACCCACCAACCCACACCATGCCCACCAAGCCACGCCCCCAGAACCAGTAGTAACAATTTTTTGAATCCTACCACTGATGTATCTGCTGAAAACAACAACTCCACATTGGTGACAGGAAGGGCATCTGGCCAGTAAACACTCAGCTCCATTTAGTTGCCCAAACTCCACCCCACAAGGTATTATGGGGTCAGTAAAAGAAGATGATGTTTATGTAGTGTATAGTGGAAGTGGTGACCCTTTGGGAGCTGTATGCAATGAAACTTCATTTTAATGTTTCCCGATTAGTGTACATTTAAAGTGACAACAAAGTTATTCTAAGTCTAAGTTCTATAGAGAACTGAGCCCTGGTTCACTTTCCTCTTTGTGTGTGTAGACTTTCCCACCTTCCCAGTGTGTGGAAAATTGCCGGCCCGGATACATCAAGGTGGCCCGTGAAAGCGAACCTGTTTGTTGCTACGATTGTGTTCCTTGTGCAAAGGGGACAATGTCTACTCAAGAAGGTAAGGAGACTTTAGTGGGGGGGAAAATGGGCTTACCCAGACAGTTTTCAGTGAGAAAGTACCAGTAGACATTCTTTAATGACTGTCAAGTTATGACAATCTTGGAAATGGTATTTTATAGCCTGTAATGCACTTCAGCCATTATAAAACTCTATGTTGCCCATCAGTCACACAACTGCATTTTAAACACTTGGCAACTGACTCGTGTTTATAATCAGCTGAAGGATCCTCTGGTCACATGATCACATTTTGCATCATGTTTTTGCATTTTCTGCCAAAAAATGCCCATTTAGAAGAATGGATATACTTAGCAATCATATGATCAGTTGAATGAACAGATTAAAAAATGATTGTAAAAGCAACCATGGAAAACCATGGAAAAATGCCAGGCATTTTTCCCAAGCATGGGAAAAATCTAAGATTAGCAGGTCTGAGGTTACTTGTCTACAGTGTTGGAATAAATAGGGGAAATATCACCTTAATATCAACACAGCAAACTATGAGAAAAGGTAACTGTGAGATTCAAAGTTTTCCAATCTTCATCCATACCAGGGGTCACCAACCTTTTGGACCTCAGGGGCCACCAAACTCATAATTTTAAATCCCGCGGACCACTAATATGAAGTTTGAGTGGTGGTGGTTTGTTGACATTGATGGGAGAGAGAGAGAGAGAGGGAGAGGGAGAGAGATCTGATCCAACCTTGAAGGGCTGATGGTGATGTTCTCTCTCTCTCTTTCTCTCTCTCTCTCTCTCTCTCTCTCTCTCTCTCTCACACACACACACACACACACCTAACCTGCTTTTCAGCTCTGTTCTCAGGAAGTGGGGAGAGGGGGAGAGAGAGAGACAGAGAGAGAGAGAGGAGAAAGAGTATCCTGTGATCCCAAATAAAGAAAGATTGATTGGTAGGAAAACAGGGTGGGGGATTTTCCTGCAGACTTTTGGGGGGATTTTCCCTGGGTCTCTGCAGAAAAAGCAGAAGCAGAAGAGACCCTGGGAAAATCACCCCAAAAGTCTGCAGGAAAATCCCCCACCC